CACAGCTCCAGAACTTGGGCTACCAGGCCTTCGGCGGCTGCTCCTCCCTCGCCACAGCCACCCTCCCTCTCGACGCAGACGCTAATGTGCGCGCGCCCTCGCCTTTGCCCTCGCCGCCTCGCCTCGCCCAGCCGCGCCCTCTACACCCCTGCTGCCTGGAGCGGACAGCCGTCGACCGCCCGCGCCCCTACTCCCTAGGACCTCGACGGCACGGCGGAGATGGTGAAGCTGGTCGCCTTCTGCCCAACCACCACCGTCCTCCGTCTTTCGCCAGCTCGAATGCGCGCCCAGGAGCGGCTCCGGCTCCTCTACCAAGGCGTGCTCGCGTACAAGCGCTGCCGCCCCCTGCTCCTCGGCTGGCTAGAGCGGGCGCAGATCCGGCTCGACTCTTACGGCTTGGACGGTGCCGCGCGCCAGCGAGACCGCGAGGAGTTCGAGAGCGAGTTTGCGAACCTCACGGCGACCTGAGTCTTCTTACTTGAAAAACCGCCGGCGACACGCGCAGCGAACGCCGACCGCAGCGCTTCCAGCGCTAATACTCTGTGTATGTAGAAAGGAGAGGGCACAAACGACACAGATTTCGTCCGTCAAGGGGAACAGGGGACACGAAACGGATCGAAAACACAACACTGTGCTCGGTCCTCGGATACAAAATGCGCCTGTGCGTGCAGGCCCAGGCGCTGCGGGCGAACTAATAGGGAATGGGAACGTTCGAACGAGATAGAAACGGACTTGGAGTGCACGGACGTCCTATTCGAAACGCGCAGGGGCACCGCCTCTTCACGCTACGCTCACACGTCAAGGCATGAACAGAACGCGGGGAAGTTCGAGTCGTCTCGTGCGTCCCCGAAGCCTAGCGGGCGGCCCCGCGCGCCCAAGCCAGCAGGCGGAAGCGTCATGACGCCGCTGGCATGCGCGTACCCCGTGGAGACGCACTGGTTCAACACGAGCGTTGACCACTTCAACTTCCGGCATGCCCACGGCGCAGGTGATTGGCGTGGCTCGCCTCCAAAAAAATAGAGACGCACAGCACTGCACACCCTGGCCCGCCCGCAGACCCCGGAGGCACCTTCCCGCTGCGCTTCTCACACCACGGCCCGCCCGCAGACCCCGGAGGCACCTTCCCGCTGCGCTACCTCGTCCACGCGCAGCAGTGGGACGGCACTGCGGTCGGAGTATTCGCGCGCATTGGATCTGTGGAGAGCGCGAGCGTGCCGGCGAGGCGGCGAGCGGTGGCAGGGCCTGGCGCGATACCTGCGCGAAGCGGCGTGTCGAGCTGGCCAGACGGGATTGCCACCAGGTCTCGCTTGAGTAGCCTAGCAGCAATAGAGTAAGGGCGTGAGGCAGTGTTGTGTCCGCGATGTCGCTCGAATGAGGGCGTGGAAAGTGCGTGACCTGGGTACCGAATGCGCTCGTGGCTCGCCTCCGCGCCCGAGCGACAGGCGTGGGGCCTCAGACTGCACCCAGGGCCCGAGCCTCACGGCTGCAACCCTCGGACTCGGGCCGTCACGAGCTAGCCGGCCGCGGCACTTCGAATGGCCCCATGACGTGGCCGCAGGGCTAAATCTATTGTGGAACCAGTCTATTCTCTTTCCGGCGGACGCTCGACCCTTCGTGCCGGCCCAATCATGCTGCTCGCTCTCGCCTCGCTCGCTCCATTTCTCGTCGTCCGTCCCCATCAACTCTCACGAGCTCCCACCTCTCGCAGCGTCGGCCCGCCCGTCCTATCCAGCACCGGAGTTGCGCCAGCGCCGGCGCCGCCACCGCCGCCACTCTCACCGTTTCCGAGCGAGGAGCTGCTGCCGCGGCTGGTCGACGGGTGCGCGGCGGGCGAGCCACTGGCGTCGCTGCTCCCGCGCTGCTTCGACCACCCGCTCGATGGCTTCCAGACCGATGCTATGGCCGCGCTCCTTGACGGCAGCTCAGTCGTCGTCTCTGCGCCGACCGGCTCGGGGAAGACGGCGGTGGCGGAGCTGGCGCTGTACGCGGCGCTGGCGCGCGGCGAGCGCGCCATCTACACCACGCCGCTCAAGGCGCTCTCCAACCAAAAGTACCGCGACCTCTCGGCCGCGCTCGGGCCCGGCTCGGTCGGCTTGCTGACGGGCGACACGCAGAAGCAGCGCGACGCGCCGGTGCTGGTGATGACGACGGAGGTGCTGCGCAACATGCTGCTCGAGCAGGACGAGATGGTCTTCGCGGCGCAGGCGGCGGGGCGGGTCGGAGTCGTCATCCTCGACGAGTTTCACTACATGAACGACAAGTCGCGTGGCACGGTCTGGGAGGAGTGCTGCGTGCTCGCGCCGCCGTCCGCAAAGCTGGTTGCGCTCTCGGCGACGATGGCCAACGCGCGGCAGGTCACTCGCTGGCTCGAGGCGATCCACGGCCCCACGTCGCTCGTCGAGACGTCGCATCGGCCGGTGCCGCTCCGCCACCGCTGCGCCGACCTCTGCTGACCGACGGACCTGTGCATCGCCACCGGTTAGGTGCCGCTGCGCTACCGCTACGCCGACGACCTCGGCGTGGAGGACCTCTTCACCTCTCCCGCCGCCGGGCCGGGAGGCGGCGGTGCGGCGCCGCCAAAGGCGGGGGAGGGGCCCCACCCAGCTCCGCCCCGAGATTGGCCGAGATGAGCCGAGGTTTGGCCAAGATTAGGCGTGGAGGCTCAACCCAAGCCTGCGGCCTGAGAAGCGCGGTCTGGCGCGAGAGGCGAGGCGCGAGCGGCGGGCGGCGGGCGGCGGGCGCGGCGGCAGGCGCGGCGGAGGGCGGGGCGGGGGCAGGAGGGGAGACGAGGGCGGAGGAGGAGGCTGGACGCGGAGAGAGGGCGATGCGGGTGGCGGCGGAGGCGGGCGGGGCGGCGGGTGGCGCGGCGGCGGCGGGTGGGCGGACCCGCGTGCGCAGGCGCGGTCCGAGATCGCGCCGGTCCCTTCGCTGCTGCGCGAGCTCTCGCACAAGGCGATGCTGCCCGCCATCGTCTTCATCTTCTCGCGCGCCGGCTGCGATGCGGCGGCGGAGCAGGCGGCGGCGCTGCGGACTCCGCTGGTGGGTGCACACGAGGTTGGCCGCATAGAGAGCATCGTCGCCGACTTCAAGCGCGCCAACGGTGCGCTGCTCGCGTCGCTCGACGCGCTGACTGCCAGTGACTCACTGCGGTGCCTCCACGGATGAGGCGCGCTGCTCGACTCCCTCGACGTGCGCCGCTTCGAGCTGCTGCAGCTCGGCATCGCGTCGCACCACGCGGGGATGCTGCCGCTCGAGAAGGCGCTGGCGGAGCAGCTCTTCCAGGCCAACCTCCTCAAGGTGGCCCTCGCTGTATCTCGGCTGTGTCTCGGCTGTGTCTCGGCTGTACCTCGGCTGTGTCTCGGCTGTACCTCGCCCACCTGCTCGAGGTGGTCTTCGCGACCGAGACGCTCGCCGCCGGGATCAACATGCCGGCGCGCACTACCGTCGTCACCACCCTCTCCAAGCGCGGCGACAGGGGGGTCGAGCCGCTCGCCGCCTCGGCGCTGCTGCAGCTGGCGGGGCGTTCAACCTCGAGGCGTGCCAGTCCTGTACTTGCTGATGAGTAGGCGCTGCTGCAGATGGCGGGGCGTGCAGGCCGGCGAGGCATCGACGAGCGAGGCAACGAGCCCAACTGCCGCTCCGCGTGCCCGGCTCCACCACGACTCGACTCCTGCTCACGTGACCCACTCAGGCAACGTGCTGCTCTGCCGCTCCGCGTGGGAGAGCGCGCCGGACGCGGCGCGCCTCTCGCGCGGCCCTCTAATCTCCCCATATCTCCCCATATCTCCCCGTATCTCCCCATATCTCCCCGTATCTCCCTAGGCGCGCCTCCTCGCGCGGCCCGCCGACCCCATCGAGTCCAACTTTTGCCTCGGGTACGGCTCCGCGCTCAAGCTGCGGCGGAGGAGGCCTCTCTCCGAGTGCGAGTCGCTGATCGCGCGCTCCTTCGGCGCGTACACGGCGCGCGCCAAGGCGGAGACGGCGGTGGCGCAGCTCGGAGGCGTCGAGGAGGAGCGGCGGCGGCTGCGGGCACTGCTGGCGCGCTTCGACCGCTCGTCCGTCGCGTCGTACGCCAAGCTGCAGGGCCGGCTGGAGGCGGAGCAGCGCTCGCTCTCCTTTCTGCGTGCGCAGGAGGCGGAGGCGGAGGCGGAGATGGTGGAGACGCTCCTCGGTTTCGTCAACCGCGGAACGCCCGCGCGCACCTCCGACGGCGCCGCCGCCATCGTCGCCGACGACCCGCCGCCCGCCATCGCGGCGGCCATGCGAAAGGCGGCGGCGGCGGCGGCGGGTGTGGTCGGGGGCGGGCGGCGGCGACGGCGCGGCGGCGTCGAGGAGGCGAGCAGCGTCCGCCCCTGCTCCTCCTCCTCCTCCTCCCGGCCACACCTCGCCGATCTCCCGCCGATCTCCCGCAGGCGGAGCAGCTCGCCCTCCTCCTCCTCGAGGACGGGTCCTTCCGCTGCGCCGCGCCGCGCCACATCGCCGGCCTCTACCCGGAGGAGGAGCCCGCGCCGCTCCACGCCGCGCAGCTCGAGAGGCGCCGCCAGACCGATGGCATCTCTCGGCCTCACCTCGGCCACACACCTCAATCTCGGCGCTCTCCTCCCAGGCTCCGCAGCCTCACCCCGCCGGCCGGCAGCTGGCTGCCCCGCACAGACGGCGCGTGGGAGGCGCCCGCCGCCGCCG